ACCACTAAATCACGAGTCTATAGCGGCGTTTATATAAAAACGTCACTAAAGTACGATTCTATAGCAACGTTTATATAAAAATGCCACTAAAGTACAATCTTTAGCAGCGCATTTATAGAAACGCCACTAAAGTATAGTATTTAGCGGCGTTTTTATAGAAACATCGCTAAAGTTCGTTCATGCATGGCTTCTTTCGGTGTCAATTGGAATTGAGTTTGACTAGCAAATGTCTTATCCTTTTGCATCAAGTGGCAACCGGCATTGTCAAGGTTGCCACCTTTCTGAGTAAATTAAAATATCTTATACAGAAAGGGAACGATTAATCATCTGTAACAATAATTAAAATTTCAAATATTTTGTGATTACATAAATCTGAAAACAAAGCCTAAAGGAGAAGCTGTGAGAGCTGCAACTCCAGCTACATACAGTTCAGCCAAGGATATTTAAGAAGAACAATGTAGAATCAAGAAGAAAGGGGAGCAATGAGTTTTCTGTACCCTTTTCACGTGTCTTTAAAGGAGCAATTTACAGTTATTGTCTTCGTTCATGTATGGCTTCTGTCACTGTCAACTGGCGTTGCGTTTGACTACTAAATGGCTTGTCCTTTTGCATCAACTTCCAACTGTCACCATCAAGCCTGCTGCCAACTGTCACCATCAAGCCTGCTGCCACGTCCCAGAGTCTATAAAAACATCTTTTAATCATGAATGGAAATATTTTATACCGACATCTATAACAATAATTTAAAGTTAGGGTAAACTATATTATGATTATTTAAAGAGGAATTAATTTTATTCTTATCATCCATCTTTTAATTTTATTAATTTAAATATTTAATTATGTCAGTGATATTAATCAAGTTATTATTAATATTTAAAAGAGAATGACGATATGATTAAAAATATTGGTATACTAAAACATTTTATTCCTATTATTTATACATTATATCCATTTACACTTAATTTTAATTTAATATAATAAATTTAATCTTTAAATTAAATTATAATATGGATTACGATGTTATAAATAATACGTTTAAAATTGTAGTTAATGAATTGAAAAATGTCATTGAACATAGTTGAACTTTAGAGTTTAAGAGTACATTGGGATGACCTAATTCTTTTGTATTACAATATTTGATATATATCTTATGAAATAAGATACTGTTACACAATCTAAAACTTTTTTAGTTTTATACGGATTTAGAATCGTTTAATAAGTGATATTAATAGTAGAAAATGAGAAGATATTCACTGTAAAAAAATAATAAGTCAATTTGAGTCATCTATTTTCATTTATCCAACGATCTTAAATCTGAGTAAAACTAAAAAAAATTACATTGTATAAATAGATCATAACTCATATTTTATAATAATATATTTAATGAAAAAAAATTAGAAGTGAAGACTCAATTTTAAGACAATTAGAGAGAATAAAAACACGTAACTTATTAAAATAAATCTAATAGTTTGTTCATAATTGAATACATTATATATATATATATATATATATATATTGTAGTTAATGTAAGATTTAAAATAAAAATAGGTTTAAAAATTTTATATTTATAAACTTGATTTAATATATTTTTTTCACGTTTATTTTCTCATATTCGAGTCCCCACTTAATCAATTTTATTTCTCTTTTTTATGTCATTAACTATATTATAAGCATGAATCCAATGATCTATGTTGTAAAAGAATTGTTATTTCTTGATGTCTCGAGTTCGAACACTATGAAATTAAGGTTACGAGCGTTTAATGTCAAAGAGTTGAGTGATATCTTTTAAAAATACTACCTTGTACTTACCCAAATTAATAAAAAAAACTATATTATAATATATATATATATATATATATATATATAATATTATAAATTTACTCACATATTTTGGGGAAAAAATTGAAATTTATTAAAACAATTCATATACAATGCATACAAACTCTCTAAAGAAGTTTATACAGGAATCACATATGTAAATACATGATATAGTGGGATGATGCACTAAATTCTTTAATTAATGTAAGTGAATCGAATTTGACACCTACGAATAGAGTAAATTGAGTTGGGAAGGTCGCCTTCATCTCTGTAGTACCTGATCTAGATTAGTCAGTCAATAAATCATATACTAATAATTAATTAAAAAAAATATATGCAAATACAACTTCAACACTTCCCTTATTAGATCCACTATAACCCCTTAACATAATAATGAACATCTCCAAAATAAGAGTTAAAAAAGTATTACAACCCTGACATACGCTCAATGACTCATCACCTGTCATTCTATCATACTCCACAGCAAATTCGATATCATACAACATTAAAGCTACCTTATATACGCCTCAAAGAAATAAATGGTTGCCTCATATCTGAACTCCTAAATCCAATATTCATTTAATCTTATGAGCTTACAAAATCTTCTCACTCATTCCCTTCAATTTAAAATCTCAATTTCTTTCTAAATTACATCTTTCAATTTTTTTTTCTATCCTAAAACCAAATCTAAGATATGTTCATCCTAAATCAAACTCAAATGACTTAAATTTATAAAAAGATTTAAGTCAATAGAAGAATTTTATTATACTCGATCACAAATTATAATAATGTCATGAGAATACATAAAATTTTAAAATATAAATTATGTAAAACCATATATTCCTATTTTTTATTAAACGGAATAAAATTTTCGAGTATACGAAATTTGAGTTACAAACTCTAATCATGAAAATATGAAATTTCGTTGTAAACATAGAATTGCTCACAACATATGCTGCTAATTAATCCATGGAGTTTCTTCCCATTCTTTTCTGTTCTTATTATTTCCAGGGGGAGTTCTATAGTATGCAGGCACAGTTCGAGGGAAAAACATTTGTCTCACTCCTTCAGACTGTACAAATGGGAGAACAATACTTGATCCAACCTGAACAACAACAAATATAGAAAATGGTAATGCAAATTCGTATACTCATATCATATTCATGTCGCATAACAACTGTTTAGTAGAGATACAAACCCAGAGGAGTTTAGCTACATGCCACAAGCGTTTCGGAGACGGGAACGGAAGCAACAATCGTCCGACACCGTATATTGCCATGGCCAAGATATGGAAGGCCAATCTTAAAGGATGAGGACATAAACCGGAGTGTAAGGCCGATAGTCCGTATGCGAATACGCCTCCGAGTCTCAAGTATCCGAAACATGCCTCTTGGATATCCACCATTGTTGGATCAGACGAGGCATTCAACACCTTCTGTAGGACATTAGCCAGTGTGTTTATCGTAGATGACATTGGCTGCAATGCAAATGCAGTTAAAGTGGTCTTAGAAGATCCCTGAGTAAAACAACATCAGACAGTGCAACAGTCATTCCCCCTCCGGTTATAGAATGTCGCATATTGAGTGCATCGCCGATCAAAAGTGCACCGGGAGTTCGGTGTGGAGAACCAGCCATGATTTTATTTGGCATTGTTTTTATGTTACCCTTCTCTATTGCAGATATGAAGGCAGTGTACAGTTCTGGAAGAACCTGAAATGCATGAATCATACTTTTAGTCCTTAAATTCCCCTTATAAACAATATAAGAAAGATCCAAGTACCTTGGGAGCCACTTGAGTTTTCAAATAATGAGCCATTTCACCATCGGAAACAGAAGGTACATTTTGACTCGGAACATCGACCAAGCAACGAATTTCGGTACTGCTAATCGGATAAAATGCGAAAGGCGAAGGTTTTGATATTACAAGACCTCCATAATTTTCACGGGGAAGTTTACAGTTTGTAAGAACCAAACCAACACAATATGAGGGGACATCAATCTGCAGAACATAATCAACATCGTCATATTTTCTCAGATCATAAGAGTTTGACATTAAGCAAGACTTCCTACATTTTCACCTTGGGATTGCAGAGAGCGCGTCTCAGATTCGAGAAACAACCGTCGCAGACGACCGTGAGAGGAGCATAAGCCGTTTGCAGTTGTCCACTCTTATCTTTGTAGTGCACTCCTTTGACAGTCCCATTTCCTTCAAGCAGAGATGTTACTGTCCCTTGTTCTAGACTTACACTACATAATCATATCATGAAACGCATAAATTCCAAAGAACAGTAGGAATAGAGTAATAGGATCGAAGCAATGGATCGAATTTACTTATGAAGAGACGCGGCTTTCTCCCGCAACCTTCGAACAAAACGACCATTATGAAAACCTCTTCCAGCGACATGGGACTGAAACTTTTCTAGAGGATATGCTAAGGGGGCATCCTTTCCGTCCATGTAGAGAACATAACCCAGAAGTCGCTGAGCATCAATGTCATCAACACAATCTGCAGTGTCAACATTCAATGTCGAAGAAATCACACCGTAACATTATATTGGCCCATAAGCTATTTAAATGTAGGATTTTTCTTGTTTAATTACCCTTAAGGCCTAACTCAATCAGCTTGAGGTATCCTCCTGGCATTAGATTTTCACCAGCAATTCTGCGAGGCTCGTTTAAGTCCCTCTCGATCACACGAACTCGACGTCCGTCCTGCAACATGTAAGCAGAGTAGAATGATCAAGTATCATAATCATATCAAAATAAGATGATGAAACTAGGCTAGAAGAAACCTTTCCAAGAGAATAGGCAAGAGCAGCACCGGCAACACCGGCACCGACTATTATAATATCTGTAGTCGCAACAACCTCAATATTTCCAGTTTTGTTAGCACAGTTTTCGTTCGGAAACTCCATAGAGGCTGTTCTCTTGAGCTTGGTCAGTCCCCTAAATCTTACGAGAAAATTGTAGTACAAGAAAACAAACCCCAAAAGAGAAGCTATAATAGCACCTGCAAAGCCAACTACGTAATTGTCAGCCATTAATTTAACAACAATATGAAACAAAATATGGAATGAATGCTCAAGAATAATACAAGTGTGTGCACATCTACTCTAGCACTTAGCTAATTAGGCCAAACATTTAGCCCTTAGGTAAAGTTACTGGAGTGAAGCAATCACTAATCAATGGTTGAACTCAATCTTTGCAGCACTTTTTCTACGAAAGTTGCTCCGCGTGAAAAATTTGTACTCCAGTGATTGCTTAAAAGCAAGCAGGTTAATCATCATGTCTGCCACATTGTTGGCTTCTTTAAACTTGCTTTCTTGGACAATATCTCACCTGCATGTGAGCTGTCACTTTCGACAATAATCCGACTGTAACCACCGGCCGGATGCCCTTTACTATAGCTTTAGACACCTCCTGCAGAAGCCAAGTACGTATTTCTCACATCAAATACATTTGGAAATCAAAAACAGAATGTTGAATGTTAAAGGAGCATTAGTGTTCACATCAAATGAAACAAACTTCTTCTGCAATTAAGGACAGAGAGTATTAGGGAGCCTCTCCCAATCCATGTGATCTGCATATAAGGTTACCTGTGTTACAGCATGACACCTTAGTTATTAGTTTCCCGACTAGTCCAAACGAAGGAAAGTACCGCTGAAAATGACTGAATATCTGATAGTGGGGACGCATAGCATTATCCGATGAATCTATTATCCAAATGAATTTGGTAGGATGAACTAGGGTTGTAAACCAGTCGAGTTCAAGTTTTGTTGTGTTCAAATCAACTCGAAAAGTGTAAAATTGAGCTCGCATTAACTCGAAAACTCACGAGTATAAATTTTTTGACCTTGACTAGAAATCAAAACTTGAAGCTCAACTCAAGTTCGGAAAAAAATTTAAACTCGAAATATTGTTAAGCTTAACTCTATTGAAGCTCAAACTTGAACATTAATTAAATAAAAGTCTTATATTGTATTTTTTTTAAAAATAACAACATATAAATGTTAATATTATAAATAATTTAATTTAAAAATATAAAAACTTAATATATTATTTTTTAATTACTCGTGAATTTTTTGAATCGAGTATGAAGTAATTCGCTTCGACTCGTTAAGAATTTGAATCTTCGAGTTAAGAGTTAACCGAGCTTTGATCAAATTAATCTTGAATAACTCAAAATATGTTTCGTCTTATTTACTCTATATAATATAATATAATATAATACAGATAGCTCCATTCGAACATGATCATTGGCTTTCGAGATATCAATCTCGAGTTCAACTTCACCCATCCGACCTCTACTTTATGCATGTGATTTGATGCAGGTTTTTGAAAGCTAAAAGCACACTGTTAGAGATTTACAAGTCGAAAAAACAATCAAACCAAGATGAATATAGATGTCTCAGGTAAGACAACCTTAATATATGACTAAAGAAAGACGTTATCAGAATGTTAATATGTTTTAACATTTTCGGTAAAGTGCTGCCTAAAACATTATTTTTTTCTACAAAAAAAATGTTAATATTTGGCGTTACCCAAAATGTTTAACATTTCCGATAAAGTGTTACCTAAAATATTATTTTTTTCTACTAGAAATGTTAATATTGGGTTCTACATAAAATTAGTTAGCAAAATTAATATTTCCGGTAAAAAAATAATGTTTAAGTAGTGCTTTACTGAAAATATTAAAAAAATATTAATATTTTTAATAGGATCTTTCATTAGCTATATATTGAGGTCGCCATACAAGAGAACTACCTAAGATGAACATAAAATAATAAGATAAAAAAAAAAAAGGAGATTTAATGTGATTCTTTCTTTCCTAAAATTTAATATCTATATCAAAATCGAAGTATTCCATATGCTCCCTTAATATCTCTACAAAACTCATATTTATAAAATAAACTATAAAAATTATAGAGATCCCAAAAGCAATTAGTCTCTTAAAAATATTTTCTCTCTTTTAATTATGAAGGTTAAGACATTATTTATACCAAAACTCATTGTATTTTAAAATAATTTTTATAAAATAAAAACTATTACCTTAAGTAGTATTACTTGTTAAATAAATTCAATTACCAAATAATATAACAATTAAAATTATAACAAAATCATACATAATTATATTTGAATCAAAATCTAGACCAAATTATCGACATAGAACGAATATTAACTTAAGATCTGAGATGACATTAGCTAAGTAACATGACTGTAAGATAGGTGAAAATTAGATTGGATCAAAATGTATCAATTTCTAAAAGTATCCCAAACGATTTCTAATAAGAAATATAGATTTAAATATATTTAGAACAAAAATTTAACGGTAGCTGAAATAAAGAAAAAAGACAAACAATAAAGAAAAAATATAAATCGGACCGATTCCTGCAATTTGGAAAGTATATAAATGTTGGACTTTCGAATTAAAGGTGATGATCAGAAAATTATTGTGGAACTTGTAAGGCTGTATGAACTTAATTTTTAGGGTTTAGACGTGAGACGATTAATTGTTTCTTAGATGGTTCAAAAGAATTTTTTTATATGTAACAAAATTTATGAGGAAATTCAATTTTACTTTTCAAGTTATATTATAGATGGAGGAAGCGTAGTGTTAAGTACATCTAAGTATTAAGTTTTAATTGGGGGAACCCTAGCCACTCTCTCCCCTCCCCCTCCCTTTTTTCTTTTTCTTTTCTTTAGATTATATAAATCAGATCAACTTTCTCTTTTTTTGATTTTGTTTAGTCGGCAGCAACATCGATTTTGATGTTGGTTGTTCACCGTCAATTCTCTTCTCTTTTTATATTGATTCAATTGTATTGATTGATTTTCGTGATAACTTTATTATGTCTTGAGTATACACAGGTGTACTGCCTTTTCAATATGGATGGAGGTTTTTTGTTGGTTTTTCTTAATATTAATCCAACGTTCATTAAAATTGTGTTGGATATTCTCCATAGAGGTTTTAGGTACGAGCAGTTGCATCTTCAGGATACACATGCATTATCAATATTAATTTTTTTTTAAACAAATATTATCTCATAATCAACTTAAATTATTAAAATAAAATTTTAAATTAAGAAATGATCTATTGAAAAATAAAGGAATATAAATGTTCTAGTAAGAGAATATATATTTCTTCTTATTGTATGATCTAGGTCTGAGTTTTATATAAATTTCCTTAAAAATCGTTTTACATTCACCGTGTTAAAATGACAAACTTCTAAAATTTTACGAGCACTACTAGAAAATCCCTCTTTAATGACGCTCATTGCGCGTCATCTATGGGTGCAGATGACACACAAATACTCGTCATTGAAGCCACCGACATAAATCTCAGATGACACACAATTGTGTGTCATAAATCTATGACACGCATTTATGACGCTCATTTATGACGCGCATTGAGCGTCATTGAAGCCCCTGTCATAAATGAAGATGACACACATTTGTGTGTCATAAATTTATGACACGCATGTATGACTTACATTGCGTGTCATTGAAGAACACGTCATTAAAAAGGATGACACACATTCGTGTGTCGTGATTTATTTCATAAATTATATATATATATATATATATACTGTAGATTGAAAAATAATCAAACTAAATCACATTTAATGCCTCATAATACTAAATATATATATCATATTATATATAAGCAATCCATTTGCATACAATATATTCACATTAAGTTATCAAATATATTGTAATCATATGTCGATACAAAATATCACGGCATAATAAAGTTTGTCACATAAGATACCCATTCTTTGCGAATATCATCAATGTCATCATCCGTGTATTCTTCCTTCCCATCGCCAACCTAAGTAAAAAATATGAAATAAGTATATAATTTATACTTATTTAAAGTGAAGTATATAACTATCAAAGAGTACTAAAATGACCAATTTTACATATGCATTCTTTGAAGCATATGTAAAAATAAATTTTACACATTTAATTAGTAAAACTTCCCATATAAATTATATACATTATCACGGCACGAATTCACAGTTTTCAGTCTTGCTAACAAGTACTTGCATTAATTTGTTTAGAATAGCATCCTATTCAAGTCCATATGATAGTTGTATGACTAATGTGTATGTATGATATGACAGATGTGTATCAGAAAAATTTGCTTGCATTCTTATTGACCAACACTTCAAGTCTGTTGGTTTCGCTTGATTAGTAGCTCCCTTTGGCTTAAGCAACATGGACATGGATTGCAGCCTCTTTGTTATCTCGGTAAATGATGGCATTGATTCATGATCATGAGACCAATACTGTTCTATTAGCTTCCTCCAATCAGGATGGCAACATTCTGGAATAGGAGGTCGAAGCGTGTTCTTCACGATCCCTCCTGCAGTCATAATTCAGTAATCAAACAGAAGGCTTTTGTTTAGCTTTCAGACAGAGTGAAAAACTGGAAAGGAAAGATGGTTAATTGTATGCAGTTTTTGATATGGCTTCAATTTATACACGAGTTGTTTGTGATGTTGTTTTATACTATTACAGAGCAAGAGCAAATGTAGTCTTATACCCTAAAACTCACATAAACCTTTTTTGATCTTCATCTTCAACGAAACAACATTTGATTGATCATCAATGACTTTTCCATACATGTATATTTTCCATTCATAATCACTAATCAGGGCTATTAGCATATTGGTAAATCAGAATCTTACCAATGATGGCACCACAATGCATATCAGCATATGGCTCCTCTCCGGTCAAGATTTCCCACATTGAAATTCCATATGAGAATACATCAACCTGTCAAATTAAATATTCATAAATTTGGCTTTAACGTGTACTCATTTTCCCTTCCCAGTGGTAAGACATATATACTTGAATATGGTTTTACTAACCTTTTTAGAAACCTTGGTGCTACTACCATTTAGCAGTTCTGGCACCATCCATGGCAGGGTTCCTCACACACCTCCAGAAACTAGAGTATTGCGTTTGATTCTTGATAATCCAAAATCTTCGATCTGTAGAAACAACACGTTGTAGCCATACTTCAAGTTAAGAGCCAACGAAAACCTTTCAGAGACATAAGACGTCCTAGTTCCTAACATGATAACTTGATAAGTTACAGCATATAGACTAATTTTGAGGGGAACATGAAGGTTTAAGGTTATTCTATAATTCTATTTTCTATACATATGATCACTAATCATCTTGGGCTAAAAATAATTTTGGGGTTAACCAGAACTAAGAATTTTTCTTTCTGGTCATTTATGATTTATAATATCACGTGAGGCACCTTGAAATCATAATGCCCACAAGAACGATGTTTGTCTTTAACATATTGAGTACCTTGCATATGGGTCGTTGTGGGTCCCTTAGATTGACAAGCAAATTGTCACATTTCATATCAAAATGAACAATGTTTTTGGAATGCAAGTATTCCATGCCAAAAACAGCCAATGAGTGCATTATTAATGAGTCTACCAATGAACAACACAAACCACTTCAAGTTCTCAAAAAGAAACACCAAAGATAACTTTATCAAACCTGTAAACAAGCAAGTAAAGAAACAATCAGCTAATGTTAATTAAGTTATTTGTCATATGGCACTTTTAGAATCAAACGTTGAAATTCGAGTTTAAACGATCATATTACTATTACTCCAAATGATCAATAATATGATGCAAAAGAGTAACAACAGCACCAACCACCAAAGAACAAAGCAAGATCAATTAGATTATTGCGCAATACTACCAGAAATAGCAAAAAGTAACCCGTTTAACCTAATAAGACTAAAGGGGCTCAACCTATATTAACTTCAAATCTGACCAGCTCAAAACGGTGAATATAATAATAATATACATGAAACACCTCATGTGCTACCCCTCACTATAGCAAAACAGAGTTTTAGCGGCGTTTTTTTAGTCATATAACGACGTTTTAAGCGACGCTAAAAGCATTTGCGGCGATAGGAAAAACGCCGCAAGAAGTGTCGGCAATACCAACGCTTTAAAGTTAGCTGCGTTTGAGAACAAAAAACGTCGCAAAAGGTCGATATCTATAGCGGCGTTTTTGGAACAAACGCCACAAAAGGTCGAGATCTATAGTGACGTTTTTAGAATAAACGCCGCAAAAGGTCAACATCTATAGCGACGTTTTTGGAACAAACGCCGCAAAAGGTCAGATCTATAGCGGCATTTTTTGATTCAAACGCCGCTAATTACCTTTCTTTAGCTAAGATGATTTTGCATATTTCATTTTTGCTCTACATCACCAAAATTTAATATCATCTAGCTTTATCTAATTAATAACCATACATTTTAATAAAAACACAAGTTATGCAGAAAAATACTTAACAACAAAATAAATTAAAATTTATAAACATTAAAATTAAATGTAATGTAGTTTGACATTGTTTTCTAGAATTTAGTCTACGTTCTTTCAATTTTAATTAAAAAAATATTGTTTACTAGAATGTAGTCTTCATTGCTCTTTCGTAGGGAAAGAAAGTAAAAACTCCCTTAGCTCCGGTTCACCAAGAAGACTCCTTGCGCGGACTTCTGCTTCAACCAAACGCAAACAAGAAGTCTGGAAGATACAAAAATATAAGAAATACTAATAAGAATCAACATGAAACTTAATATAGAGAAAAAAGGAAACATTTGGCATAGAATCAACCAGCAAAAACACTTGACTTAGTTATTAACACAATAATATAATATGTAATTATAGTAATGCATAACAACATAAGAAACTAGATCTTACATGAATTGTATGTCAATATCCAAATAATGCACTGAAAGAGGTACAAAACATATAATAGCAGTGCATATTGAGTTAAAAAATTTGCAAAATGGAAAAAAACAAGTAAATGTCGTACAAATTCGAAGTTTTTGAGATCAGGGAAGTTCACAGCTACAACAACCATTACTGCTTCATTTATAGCCACTCGTGTCCATGTTTCTAGACTTCTGTCCTTATTATCTAGCATACCCCTTTCTTCGATATGTGCCACTTGGAGGAAATCATCAGTTGTAATATGCACCAATACAATAGCAGAAAGTCATATCTTCGCTAAAAGGCATTAGGTTAAGGGCATTTATACCTTCTAAACAACACTATCAAACACGATCCTAAAATTTCACATTCAAGAAGTAATAATATCTCAATTTCATTCATTTTATATATACTAACTAAAACCCTCTTAATTTTATAAAATATGTTTTTCTCCAAGTTTCTGTTTCTCTGTTCCGATTAATTATTTTATAAAATATCATTGTGGAGATGAATTATACTGCTGCCTTCCCAACGCATCAAGTCCCATCAACTTAGCAACCACACTGGGTGGGTTACATTTAGACTCCACATCTTTTGACGTTTCCTAGGCCAAGAGCATCTTCATGGGTGTTACATTACCTTTCTTGCTTGACAAAGTTCTCCTTAACCCAGATACCATCTGGGCACACAAAAAGAAATAAAACAAGTGAGAATGCAATGTTATTTTTATAATTCAAGTGGAAGATATAGAGACAAACATAATCCCTATCAGTTTGCTTATAATAATTACTATTGCAGAGACTAAACACCCAATATTTACCACTTTATCCTCTATCGGATCTCCAAAGGCGGGGCTTAACATCCTTACAACATCAGATTGACTCCTAGAGTGTGAGGACCCTGCCCATCAACCAACAATATGTTAAAATAGAAAGATAAATATAAACAACCAATAACACCACTAACTGACGTCTAATTCATGCATAAACCTGTCCCACAAGAAACATGGAGTCAAAACCACTAGAACAAAACCAGTCAAAAAGGCGATCTGGTTTCTGTTTCATATCGAGATTCATACATCTATTGTACAAACAATCTATAAAAGAAAAATAATTAATGTTGCAAATGGAACTAAAGTAATTGAGACATCTATTGTACATTGCGAATTTTTCAGATTTACAAAATGCAATATATAAGTTGAGCACGGTTTTAGGTGGGTCGAAAAGGATACCGTTAGTTTCCATTTTCTGCGTATAAAGAAATGGTTCAGGCTAGAATATGAAACTGATATTGCAAGATGCTCTAAGCCCCAAGTTATACAACCAATTTAACACATTTATGGAGAGGATTGTATACCTGATGCATTACCCAAGCGCCTCGTGTCTCTAAAGCCAATAGTAACTGACAAGCATAACACCATCAGAAGCCAGTTAATCTCAAGAATGTAGATCTGAACGTGGATTTTGGACGATGTGTGGACTATTTTGACCTTCGGGAAGCATCCAAGGGAAGATCACTGTTTGATTATCGAGAACATTCCAGTTATGATAGCTTGGCTTCCCACTATTGCAACAAGTATGGCTATAACCAAAATTGGCCATCTTAATGCATCCTCATACAAGTTGTCCAACATAAACTTGTCCAATCCTCTGCCCTTTCTATCAAATATCAAATTAAAATAATATCGGTGAGACATACATACATGAACATGTTATGTTACCTATGTATGAATGAACATACATCACATCACATGTTTGTAATACCACTTTGTAAGTGGAAGTGGCATTATCATTCGATCTTGGAGCAGTGGCAGGTTCTAATTCCCAGCCTGTAGTGCAAATTCCCAGCCTGTAGTGCCATTTGCTTGAACAGAAGCATCGGGAGAAATTTTTTGCTCAGCTGGAACACCACCATGAAAACATAAACACAAATTGATATGCAAAAGGTTCAAACTTATTTTATGTGGTTAAAACCAGTAGAAAACCGGTTTATTGATGTTTCATGGCGTAAAGTATTGAACTATTGAAGATGATTCAAACTCGCCAACAGGAACAATAGTCAATGCCAATGAATTCTTCTCATCTAATTTTGATGCAACCGGGACAGGATTGTATAAACCCTGATAAGAAAGAGAAAAACTCATGCTGAAACTGCAAAAGTTGCATATGAAACCATAAAAAAGACTACTACATTACCAACAAATCAGGCGGTTCAACCATAGGCTCTTCCACTTTCTTCGCTTCTTCTGGTTCATGCAGAGGAGGTGGTGAACATTGCTGCACCTCTGGGGTTTTCTTGCACTCAACGGCCAACACTTCTTTTGGGTTTTCAATCTGCTTGTCATATCAATATTTTGTAAGATTAACAGAAAGTAACAAAAATTAAAACATGAAAAAAATGTCATAAAGATGGTAATAGAATATTATATATGAATAATAGCTCAACTGGCAGAATAATGATGAAAAATGGTTGATCATTATAACTAGGTATCTAAATTAACACAAATTCATCAGCTTACATATATTACATCTAATTGCATGTATGTAAAGGCATATAAATATATATAAATCATCTTTTAGACATGATCTTTACGCACAGTTAAAGCCTGTGGAGTTTCACTTACCTAATCTTCCATTGCTTGTAGAAAGGATGCAGGGAGCTTCAACATAAATTTCAAATGAAAATTAGTTTCTTCAACTCATGAGAGTTCAAGGCAAAGCGAATCTATCACAGAAGGCACCAAAGTTGAAGTTCCCGAACCTGCTCTATCTTAATACCAATCGCCACGCCCAATATCAAGTTTTTTACATACTTCATAAAATTCTGAAAGCCCCTCCACCTGCAAATAAAAAATTAGTTCTAAATCATCTTCATTTACGCTAGAGACAATATTAGTTGAAAAATCAAATTAGTTCTAACTCGAATTATTATCTTAACAAAGACAAATAACTAATACAACAAAATAATGGCATCAAAATTAATTGTGTTGTAGCTGCTATTTTATCTTTCTGATTTGCCAAATCAGTTGTAAATTTGAAAGAAACTCCACCTCCAGAAACAAACCCTAGTGGAATTCAATTAAAAAAAATAGTAGAAGAGAGAAAAAAAATGAGAATCCCAAGAACAAACAGATCTTAAAACAAATTTGGGGACTTGAAAATTTGAGCTA